TAATGAACACTACATTTTTATTTATATTTTTTATAATATATATATATATATATATATATATATTAAGCAATATAAAGATAAATGCATTGTTCATTGTAACATTGTAACCCTGTTATTCCTGAGAGAATTGGTCCAATCACCTACTACGACTTATTTGGGAACTACTACTGTTACAACTTCCAATTATGATATATGTCACCAAGTGATGCTATCGCAATCACAAAATATAACCTCTGTGGCCAACTAACATTTTTGCAATCACAAACTGCGGTTTGTTTAGGCCAACTGGTGATATTGCAATGATCAACTACAGTCTATGTTACCAACTAATATTGTCATAGCTTTTAACCATGACATATGTGGCCAACTAACACTATTGTAGTCAACAACTACAATATCTATGACCAATTGATGATATTTGCATTCACCAACTAACGATATTGCAATCATCAACTTCGACCTATGTGACAAACAACTTCTGCTACAACTTTTAACTATGATCTTTGTGGCCAACTTATGTTATTTCAGTCACCAACTACGACTTCTCTGACCAATTGATGATATTGCATCTTCTAACCATGGCATTTTTGGCAAACTATTGCTTGTGCAGTAACCAATTACGACATTTGTGACTAAATGCTTTTTTTATAGCTTCCAACCACAACCTCTGTGATCAACTATTGTTATTGCAACCGCCAATTATGATATGTGGCTAAATACTATTGTTATAACTTCCAACTATAACTTTTGTAGCTAACTGATGCTGTTATATCTTCCACATATGGTCTATATGATCGACTATTGATATTACAGTACCAAGTACGGTTTATGTGGTAACTACTACTGTTACAGCTTTCAACTACAGCTTATGCGGCTAACTACCACAATTGTAGCCACTGTTTGTATTATTTATAGTCAACTAATGTCTATGTACCAATCAACTACGACATTTGTGGTCAATTATTAATGTTATAGCCAAGAAAAATATTTGTTATAACTCAATTACGACTATTATTGATAAACTATTATCATACATATATAATTATCAGCTTTGTAATTCTATATTCTCTAATTCATGAAAAGAGTGGATCTATGTACTTGCATACACATATTAGATTACTCTGACTAGGCTAGCCCTTGTGTTTTTTTTTTTCATTTCTAGATTTTTTTTCTACGTAAAAAATATTGGTGCCTCATCTGCCATTCTTTTTATATGTATGTTGGATCTTCGTATAATGCTATGACATTAAATTACCACTAAATCTTTTTGCACGCAACAAAGATGCTATAGGTGTAAATATCAAACTTTGGGTGTTACGTATGTAAATACATAAGAATTGTGCGGTTTGTATGTAAATTTAACTAAAATTTAACGTCTTCGCGGCGTTCCTATAGTTTTTGTCTTGTATTCTTCTCAATTTTGAAGCATGCGAATCGAATCTTTGTCTTTGCATACAAACGATAGCTCTCATTTAACTATTTGATATTTTTTTTAGCAAAGGATAATGTCAGGTTTGATGCAGTTACTTTTAAATAATACTCCTGTAAACATAAAACCCGTAATATTCAATGTTAAATTTAGGTATCTTGTTTTTTTCATCGAAGAAAATATGCTTGGAATATTTAAAGACTTCCTAAAAATTTATTGTAATTTCAGCTACCTTAAATTTTATAGGCATTTACATACATACCACCTCAACTTCAAGTTTTTACATTTGTACAACCCAAATCTTCCATTTCACATAAAATGTACCACCATTTCAACTCTTAAGAAGTGAGATGCACCTTTTCATGCATTTGAAAGATGGCATCTATGTAAAAATTGAAGTCATGTGTTATTTATGTAAATACATAAGAACTGAGTGATATGTATGTAAAATCATCCTAAATTCTGATCATATTTTATTGTTAGCATATAGTGGCATCAAATAGGTGCATCAATCGTGTGAATTTGTATAAAGTTCTTTTCATTAATCTCTCTCTCTCTCTCTCTCTGTATCTCTATGTTCATATACACATAACATTCCAACATTCACAACTGAGGCAATCACTCATTGATTTCATCAAACAATCAGCCATAGTTCCAGCAACAGTTCTGTTTTCAACCAAAGAAAGAATAAGAGGCACAGCAAAGATAGGCCAACACCAACACAACACAATCTGTACGCAAGAAAAAATAACAAACAACCTCACAACCCACAGCCAGCGATTCAAATCTAAACTTTCTTTTTTTACTTGCTCATAAACTGGCTCATGGGAGGAACAGTGCTCGTCATCCACTGCTTCTGAGCCTGGAAACCCATCCATCCTGTATCAAAACCAATACATCTTTCACCGAATTAAGTATGGCTGTGACGAAGGAAAGAAGAATGGTTGCAGAAATTGATACCTAGAGAGGGATCAATGCCTCTGTGCTGAAGCTCCCTGAACTCCTGGCAGAGAGCACAACAGGAGCAGAAAAGATGGACTGTCCAGTCCTCCGATGGAGCCTCAACGAGGTTATATTTGTTCCTCATCTTCTTCCTGTAATTGGAGCCTAAGATCCAGCAGGTCAGTAGTGCTGGCACCATCAGAATGTACATAAAACTGGCCAGCGTGCAACCTACAAAAACAAATAATGATATGCATAATTTATTAATGTTAATAGGGAATTATCCAATGGCACCCTCTGGAGATTTTTCAGTGAAAAAGACCAGGGATAATATTCTAAGGGGGTGTTTGTTAGTGCCATGTTAACATGATCTATCGTCCAGTCAAACATAAAGAGAAGGGAAGTTACATGAACTTATGAAATTTTGGATTTAAGGTTTGGATTTTGCCTTTGATTCATGTTAATTTCGGATTTACTAACTCTTACTAATGGTGAATTCTTTCTGCAACCAAACATCCCCTAGGGGTTTGTAATGGGCGGCTTTGTTATTTGTTAAGTGGTTGTAAAATTATTGTGGGAAAATTTACTTTTTTAGTAGCTGAGGTGGATTTTTTTTTTCTTCAAAAGCTCAGATAACAACTTTCTTAAAACTAACAAAATTTGGTGTTTCGTTTTTTAAAAAAATTAGCTTCTTTTTATTAAAATTTTTAGAAGCAACAAAAAAAATTTAAAATTTAAATATAGTTGTGGTGGTGGTTTCAAATACGAACGATCATGTAGTGTTAGAGTCAAAACATTTCAAGTAGTATTTAAGGTTGGCGCTTAGGCGCCAACCTTGGGCGCTCAAGCAAAAGGGACTGTGACTATGTGCTGTCCATTTGGTGCCTAAGCGCCTAACATGGTGCGGGTGCGGGCGGGCGCTACTTGTTTTTTCGAGAGAACTCTCGGTGCATAGGCACCGATCTATTGGCGCTTAGGCTCCTATTATGGGGCACTGATACAGAGCTTTTGATTGCGGTTAATACATGAAAAATTGGTTTTGAGTAGGCTTCTTGAGACTTGTTGTTTCTTTCTTCTAAATTTTTTGACAAGTATCGCGGTGAAAGTGAGGAGTGTCGAAGAGGTGGATTTTGATGGTTCAGTTTCATTTTTGCGTCGGATTGAAGATAGAAGATTGTTGGTGCAAGTTTTGTAAGTTTCTTAACCCTAAGTTTCTTTGTGTGAATGTCAAAAAGAAATTTGTGCGACTCCTTTAAAAACCTTTCTAAATTATATAGTGAAATTTGTGATGGTGTAGCTCCGTGGTTTTTTCTCGTTTTCAGGCTTTTACACGTAAAATTCATGTGTGCTTTTTTGAGATGCTTTGATTGTGCTTTCTTAAATTTTTTTGCTTCAGTTTTTCTCGAATTCTGTGATCCTATTCTGCAGTGAAATTAGACGATAACTCTAATAAAGTTATTTCCTTAACATGAATGAGTTAGGAAAGTGCCTCAAACAACTCTAAGGGCTTGTTTGGCTGTAAGTAGAATTTAACATTAATAGGATTTAACAAATCTATGAATCCATAAATTCATAAATCCACCAAACTCCTGAGAATAGTAAATTCAGGATTTAGGCCGAATCAAAGGTAAAATTGGATGCAACACATCCATAAATCCGCCAACTTCTACATCTTACCATTTGCCCAAATTTACTAAACCCACTGATAAACCATACAAAAAGCCCCTACCAAACAACCCCCAAGTCTTCAAAACCCTTGCTAATGATTCTGATTCAATAATCTTTAAGCAAAAAAAAAAAGCAAAAAATGCAGCACACAGAGATGATTCTGATTCAATAATCTTTAAGCAAAAAAAAAAGCAAAAAATGCAGCACACAGAGAAGAGAAAATTAAGTACACAACTTACTCGTCCCTCCCTCATCCAATATCTCTGCAATCTGCCCGAATGTAACGCAAGGAAAAAATGCCGTCATGATAGCTGCAACACAAATATTCACACAGACATCAACTCTAAAAATCAAAGTTTGGGTGTGACATAAATAAATCCATAAGAATTGGATGATATATATATATATATATATATGTAAATATCCAAAGTAAAAAATACACAGTAATTCCAAAGAAAATTACCATTGGTCTGGTTCTGCCCACAGTCAAACATGCCCGTTGACCAAGGCCTCCCAATATTGGAAGCAGGCGATTTGGAGTCATACGCAGACGCAGGACTCGCCGGAGCAAAGTTCACCGGCGTGCCTCGTGGTGGAGGAGGATGGTATGGAGGTTGAGGAGAACCATTAATGGAGGAAGGCGAAGCCGCGGGAGGAGGCCGAGGAGGCGGCTCAGATCCTGCGGTGATCTCTTCGTCTTCTAATCTCTGTCTTCCCATTGGAGTTGTAGAGAGTTAATGGTTTGTCTGATTGGTCTGTAATTTATATTGAAATGCTGTTTGATTCAGAGCTTATAGGCTGATAAGTGATAAAATAAAAATGAAGAAGTCAAAGAGAATTGGATATGATAGTGGGCCAGGTTGCAAATATGGAAATTTGAAATTGGATGTTACAAAGTGGCCCTTGCATGTTGTTTTCATCACGTTTTCTTATTAAAAAAGAATTGGATAAGAAATAGGGATGGGAATTTAGCCCGAAGATCGTTAATCGCTTGAAAATTGATTTGAATTTTGGCTCAGATCAAGATTGGATTACAATAAACTAGTCGAGCTGTAATTCAAAATTTTGAATTGATTTGTTTTTTTTTTGTGATGTTTTTGAGCCGGCCCCACCTTAGCTTGAGATGAGATTATTAACAAAACTAGTGATGTTAGGGTTGCGAATTTAGCAAATTTAGCTTGAAGATCATTATTCGCTTGAAAATTGACTAAAAAAAAAAAACTAGGATCGAGATCATATAGAAATAAATGAGTCATGTTATGAGTTAAAATTTTGGATCGATTTTTTTTAAAAAAAATTAAGTTTGAGTTAACCCTAACTTGACTCGAAATCTAATCGTTAACAGCCCTAGTGAGGATATCAAAATTATTTTTATTTATTTTTTAATTCTTTTATTGAAAAATATAGACGTTAGAAAACTACAAAAAAATTAAATCCTAATTTATTTAAATTTATGCTTTTATTTAATATAAATAAAAATGAAAAAAAAAAAAAAAACATATTACCCAATTCCTATGCATTAATATACCTAACATTTAAACTTTGATTTTTATATTTATAGTATCATGTTATATGTATATATATCACTCAAATATTAAAAGTTACATCAAATTCTCCAATCCTTATTTTCCAAGTTTTTATTGTGACATGTAAATACAAAGATTTGATAGTTTGGAAAACAAAAAAGTTTGACATGAAATATATTCTATAAATAAGCAAGTTTTAAGTGTAAGGAATGTAATCCTCCTAAATTTTATGATATAATTATGAAACTGGCTTGATATCATCACAAAAAAAATTATCATTTTGCATGTACTCAAGATATTTTTTTAAGGAGAAAATATTTTGATTCAAATTAAAATTTATCCAAAATTCCGATTTTAGCAAATTTATAGTCAAACTAACCATCTCTACAAGATGCACCAAAAGATATTTGGTCCAATCTGAGTCCAATCAAGCCTGAATCAATCCATTGAAACACAATTGGAGGCTTTGGGAAGTTAATTAGAGGGTTAAATGAACTCTAAATTTGATAGGACTACAGTCAAATCGAGGGTCTCAAGAAAGAGCAATCCAACGAACCCAAAATCACTTGATTACAGGTTTATTAAGGCTCTCAAAGCATAAAAAAAACTCACTACAGTCACATCGAGGGTCTCAACAAAGAGCAATCCAACGAACCCAAAATCACTCGATTACATGTTTATTATATAAGAAAGTTGATAAAAAATATAAGAGTTAACAATGCAAATTTATAGTCAAACTAACCATCTCTACAAGATGCACCAAAAGATAATTGGTCCAATCCGAGTCCAATGAAGCCTGGATCAATCCATTGAAACATATTTGGAGGCTTTGGGAAAGTTTATTAGAGGGTTAAATGAACTCTAAATTTGATAGACCTACAGTCAAATCGAGGGTCTCAACAAAGAGCAATCCAACGAACCCAAAATCACTCGATTACAAGTTTATTAAGGCTCTCAAAGCATTAAGAAAATCTCATATGATCAAAAGAAATCAACGTGAATTATTTGATCAGGTGGTTATTGAAGTTATTCATCGAATCATTATATCTTGGTTGACACCATGCCATATCATTGACGCTTGATAGCCACCACTGTCGTGGTACACCATTGCAGTATCTGGATCATCATCTCTCGGCTAGCCGCACCAAACCATCTTCATTATGTCAGCATCATTGCATGACCCTCGTCGCTCTGCCAACACTGCCACTATCACTGAATGACCACTGCTAGGTCATTTATGCCATTATGGCACATTGTCTTCAAATTACTATCATCATTATATAGTTATCACTATTTTCTAGCGTCGATCATTATTGGTGACAATGAATCTATATTGCCATCACACAACCTTTATCATCGTGCTTTCACCATCGCAACTGAGTCACTATCACTTTCTCGATATTTTCTACCCCTCCTTTAATGAAATTCAAGATAATTTCTTCCACTGTTGCAACACTCTTTTTTATTGTTCAATGAATAGTGAAATCATTTCAATTGTGTTGGGTCCTGTGATTTTTTCCTTTTAAGATTTTTCACATAAGAACCCATAGTGTCCCCTCTACCAGTTCTTTCTGTCATCTACGTCTGTGCTAAATTTTTTTACAACGCTACGAAGCTAATATAACTTTACCGACATCAATTCTCCATCACCCAATAATTTTTATTATATTTACATTTCTAGATGTATACATTATTTTATAGCGCATATTATATAAGAAAGTTGATAGAAAATATAAGAGTAAATAAATAATTTTACCATGAAATAAACTAATTAACAATTAAAAATTTGTGTAAAATATTATTTAACAATATTTCCTTATGGAACTTACAAGATTAGCGAATAAAATTATTTAGTTAGAGACTACTAAAAATATTGATATTTTTTTATCAACTGATAATTATTTATAATGTCTAGTTTTAAATTAAAAATATATATATAATCAGTTCCTTTTATCTTAAGAATAAGTATGAATAATATTTTCTTGAAATATTTTTTAATTATTATCCTAAATAAGATTGTGTTTTGCATGAAATTTTTATATATTATAAAGTAATAATATAACCTCCTTCCATCATATATACATATTGATATAGTAATTGTTGTATATTATGAAATTTAGGTATTTAGTTAAATAGTCAAAATTACATTGGCCCAATGGAATAAATTACATTATCACCAAAGTAAGCTTTTAGAGTCTTAGATTATTACATTATTATATTTTCTTACTTCTGAAGAACATGATGGTCATTGGATATTTATTTTACTAAGAGTCTATGGGCATTTTAATGAATGTAATTCCCATTTCTATCAAATATATCAAACTTTCCAAATGTTGTAAGCCCCAACCCAATCTAAACTTTGGCATTCTAATAGAAGCATAATTTAAATTTGGGCATTTTATGAGAGCTAAATGCTAATTCAATTAAAATTAAGGGATTTAAAGAGATGTAAAAGTCTTAACTCATTATATGCTAATAAGCCTACTAAATTGATCAAAAATACAAAAATATAATACATCAATATTTGTGCATGGTCACCACAGTCTAGTATGAATACTTGAGATAAGATTGCTTAAGAGAGCTATAACATTTGACACTCTAACATCAATAAATTGAGACAATTGCAAATATTTGGGATGAAACCTAGTTAAATAAAATTTAATATACCTCATGAAGAGCAAAATCCAGATCTAAAGACAAGTTTTCGATATTTTTTGTTGGCGGTCAAAATAATACATCATATATGACAGCCTCTTATTGAGCTTAATATCGAACATTTAAAAAAGTTTCTTCAAGCTAAACTATATTCAAATATAGTTCACTTAGGCTTGGAGCTTTTAAGAAGATATTCAAACTAAGTAATTTACTAATTTAAATAAATGTAATCTAATGTTAACGAGTTAGGGTTGGTCACCGAGTGCATTTGTTCATTTACAACCATATATAAATTAGAGTTTAGATTTTAGATATATAAATAAGAATTATAATGCAAATTCCATTAGCTAATGACCAACATAAGTATTGAAAAAAGTATATTCTAATAATGAGTACATAAAATGCTAAAACCACATTATTGCATCAGGACATTGGACACCGGACACAAATTTACGTCAAGTTCAGTGGGCCACGTGGCACAATTCTGCTGGACACCGGAAGCAAAATTTTGGTCCGGAGTTCAGATGTAATAATTTTTCCAAATATTGACCCATAAATCATGGTTTGCGCGAGCGTGTTATATGATAATAAATAAATATTTAGATATTCTATTTATTTACACTAAAAAAGAATTTAAGATTTAATTTTTAAGATGAAGTAATTGGACTAATTAAATGTCTTAAAACAATGTCAATTAAAATAGACAATTAAGATATTTGGAATAAAAAAAACAGAAGATCATATTAAATCAACACAAAATAGCTTAAAATTTATAATGTACCTGTTTAGCAGTTCCAAAGCCTAAGACGAAATATCATAATATCTCCATTCCAAACAAAGGAGGGAAGATGATAAATGAAGCCCCATTTTATTATAGGCCGGGGGGCTTGAACAAAGGTATAGGAAAGAAACTCTCTACATCCACAGGTACTTGAAGAGCACGGCTAACAAGCTCCGGCATGGCGGCCGTCGCCTTCCAGGTCGAGAACCACGGCCCCCCACCTACTTCAACAGCGGCCATGTCGCTCGTCACGTCAAGGATTAACTGCACCCAAATTTTTAAATCTGCTTCAGCCCATATAATAAAGTAGTTCTGCTGATTTATTAAGGTCTAAACCTATCAGCTTAATTTTCTACCTTGGTTGATTAATAATGTTTACTACGACAGGAAAACTTGGCCATCCAAAATAAAATTGTGTAAAATATAACAGGTTAGCTTGCCCATCTTTCCAGTTATTTTTTATTTAGTTATTTTTGTTCGATCACATTAAACGTCGACCATCTCATGATCCGATTAGGATAATAAATGCTTTAGATTTGACTTATGTTAAGAAAGAAGAAAGGTAAAAGTAGACCTAGGAAGAATTGGGCTTATTGTATAAAAAATGATCTTAAGTTATTAGAACTTAATGAAAATATGACACTAAATAGGACGCAATGGAGAAAAAAGATTCATGTAGCCGACTCCATGTGGTGGGATTAAGGCTTTGTTGTTGTTATTTTTGTTCGGGCAAAGTGAGCACTTGAAAGCAGCATTTTGGGATTCTTCACTTTACTCCTGACCACGCATTGCGTGTTCAAGCGCCCATCTTTACCCTATTTCTTTAGGGATGATTACAGATCACCAGAAACATTGATATTTACAAATTAACCGCCTAAGTGATTTTTTTGAACTACTGAACAGATGTATTTACACGTGTCACGGTCAAACTATTGAGAATTTGATAAAAATAAAAAATAGGGGTTGTGGTTATACCATAAATTTTGATATTTGAGTGAAAATTTGAAGAATAGATGAACGAGGGTAGTAGTTGATTTGTAAATAGCAAGTTTCGGGCGGCCTTGTATGCAATTGCCCCCCTTTTTCTTTAGGTTTTATTGTTTTTTTTTATTTCTTAAGCACAGAGTGCTCGGGTTGCACTAGACTAAAAAAAGCAGGATAAAGTGTGAAAAATTGAGGATTCAAGCAAGCACCTTTCCCTTGTTGCCATCAGATGTTTTCTCCCACAACTGCAACCTCAGATCACCATAGCAAGTATCTTTACACGCCGTGACGAGTCCGGCTTCTTGCGTTGGAGCTCTCAGCGGGGTGCCCGGTTCATCTGTTGTAGCTACTAATTCTACCTGTTCCATTTGTTCATAAGATTTTATACGGGAATTATAATAGCCAAGAATAATCCAAGACAAATTTTAGAACCACTGCATATTTCAAAAGATGCTGCAAGTTTTATGAAATCTATATAATGTACTGTATTTATATGTTGCAGGTAAGGAGGAGATCACCATGTTTTGATTGTTCTCAGCAGAGAAATGCCAATAACCCCACTTACTTATCTCCCAGCTCACAGTACCATTCCAGGGCACAAATTCATAAAAAATTCCTTCATAGTGGATGCCAACCTGCAGGAAAATCAAATAAGGGTTTTAGGAATTTGGGGGCAGAAAGGAAAAAAGATGAGGATTTTGAGGCATGTTCTTACAAGAATTTGAAGGAGAAAGGATTACAGGAGCTTTTTTCTTTTTTTAAATTTTAACAATTTTTAAGATTTTGAATGCTAAATAAGTTTCTTCTTATATAGGATAACAGAACAAATAATTTTTTTTTTTAACTCGTACTATTCAAGACTAGAGAGCCCTCTGAAAGAGCATATCAAATAAACTAAACCATCATCACCTGCAAGTTAGAGGAGTCTTAAAATGAGAAGGTAAAAATGGCAACACCATAATAGCATTGTAGAAGTTAATTAAGATAGAATGATGCAAGATGGGGTAAAAATGGAAATCGATGTTCAGGAACTACTTCGACAATGAAAATTTATTAGCATCGGTGATGGCTTTTAGAATAATTAAAAGTCAGAAAAGCTTTTCTTTTTAGGGGAATTTACATACATACTTACATACATACCACACAATTCTTGATGTGTTTACACATGGAACACCAAAACATTCATATTTACATGCGTACCACTCGAATCTTTAGCATCACATCCAAGATACCACAATCATTATTTCTTCATTAGTGAAATATACCTTTTCATGCATAAGTTTATTACACCAAGGTGTTATAAGTGTAAATATCAAACTTCGGGTTTTAGATATGTGAATACAAAACTGTGTGGTATGTAGGTAAACTTCTCCTTTTTATAGGGTATTTATGAAGTGACTGCCATAACAACTTCTTAATCCATTCATTCTCCACAAATAATCAATTAAAAGCTGCCCATTACCACAAAATAAAAAGAAACAAAAACGAATCCAAATAGAACCAAAAGACCAAAACAAATCCTACTTCTGCTACCAAAGAGCCACACCCACAAGACTATCGTTATACGATACCCATAAAGAGTAATTTTTCAAAATTAAAATGAGAGAAGTGTCAAAATAATCTCGAGACTCTTTGCAGGAGGTTTAATTTAGTCCCATAGTTTATAAAAGTGGAATTTAGTCCCCAGACTTTTTTAACATAGATTAAAATAGTCTCCAATAGCCCCCATTAAAATAATCAAGACCAAGTTTAGCATTTCTGAAAACTCTGGGACTAAAATGGTCTAATGTAAGCAATCATGAGACTATTGGCATTACTCAAATTAAAATAAACTCATTTAGTTCTTCCAAGTTTTCAGTTCAAAGAAACTTGCCATAGAAGAAATTAAGCTAGCACTTCATTTCTAGCTACACTAGAAAGTAGCATGAAGACTAAAAAATCAGACAGCAGAGCTCTATCACAGCACCAGACCGCGAATCAACTACTCGAACAGTGCAAAAAACTACAAGTTTTGGGCAAAATAGAGCATATGGAACAACAGCAGAGAACCGACTTCATAGCAGTTCAAACAGCCTAAGGAGTGGGAGACGGGGCTTCACATCAAATTATATGGCTCGAAAAAATTCTAACTACATCGAATTTAATTTTTGATATTTGCCGAGAAAAAATCTCTTGGATCCTTAGGATAGGTTAGGTTATAAACTTTGGTATTCAAACAAGAGTCATACTAGAAATAATATAAATGTAATTATAGACAATAGTTTAAAAGATAATGTTGTAAATAGAATTGGAGATAGAATTCTAGCCCTAAAAAATGTTGTTGATAAGGTTCCAAAAAAGAGCCGCATCCTCGGCCTGTTGGTTGGTTGGCATCCGCTTCGTCGGTTGTAACTCACCTCAAATCCCTTCCAGGCGAGTTGTCCGCTATATGGAGGTGGTACTGGAATTGGTTGACTCATAGGGTCCAATCCCAAATCTAGCGGGATTACCAACCCAAGGCGTTGGTTGGTTTAGGTATATTATATTTTTCTATATTTTCTCTTTTTTTGGAACCTGTTGTATGTGATGGTTATCGTGGGGGACGGGTGCCATGCTTGGGCCTTCCACACAATCTTTATGTATCCTTATTCCCTTTTCATATATTAGCCTTTGGGCTTTCTCAAAAAAGAATATATAGTGCCGATGGCGGCGAGCTCTGTTAGGGTTTTGCCCGATGACGAAACCCAGCGTTAACCTCCGGCTTTCACTGGCTACTGTCTCGTCGGCTTCGCATACAATCTCGATTGCTGCTAACCGAGCCTTCTACGCCCTCGGTTGTCTTCTCTAGACAGCTACGACAGCGCCTCGGGTTGCAGCAACTTCGTCGTGGTCTGCATCGTCGCACGTCCTCACTGCTTCGTCGCACAGCGTCGCTTCTTCGTCGCACGCCCTCGCTGCTTACTCGCTGCTTATCGTCGTCTGCGTCGAGTGCCTTCGTCCTCGGTCGCAGATGGCCTGCCTGATCAGCGACAGAGCTTCGTTTTCCTCCCAGGTTTTTTCTCATGCAATGAAACACCGGCCAAGGTGATGGCCTCAGGGGTTCTTTCTTACGCCGTCGCCCTTGCCGGTGATAACCCCGCTCCCGCCCCTCTTTCGAATATGTTTCGCAACGTTACCACGATACTTTTGCTCTTCGGGTTGAAACCGAGTTTTTCAAAAAAACATCCCGTAAAAACGACACACCTGCAATCTTTCTCACAGAGGCCGAGATCTCAATCCTAGCTGCTCCCTGCCGACTGTTATTAGTAGGTAAGTTTCTTTATGGAAACCCTAAATTTGAGCAAATTATAAAGAATTTTGAGCAAATGAAGCTGAAAGGAGGTTGGAAGATTGGTAAATTGGAAGGTCGGCACATTTTCATCCAATTATCAAATGATGAAGGCTATGTCCATTTGTTTACGAGAAGACTCATTCGAATAGACAACCAGGTGACTAAAATGGACGGTAGATTTTGACCGTCGTACTGAACCTCCTACCATTCATGTTTGGCTGCGCTTCCCAGGTTTGAAAGTCCACCTTTACCATCAAGAGCTCTTCTTCGCTTTAGTTATGGTATACGATAAACCTCTCAAAACTAATATGTCTATAGTGAATCTAACTCGGCCTTCTGAAGCTAGAATTTTGATAGAACGAGATATTACTTTGCCTTTTCCGGGAGAAATATGGATTGACACACAGCATCAGGGATTTTGACAGCAAGCAGAACTTGAACAGATACCTCTTTATTACACTCACTGTCGTATGTTTGGATACTCTCTTTCTCAATGTTATCATTTGCATCCGAATCTAAAACCTCCAAGTAAAAATGCTACTGGATCTGCCCCACTTCATGCCTGTCACTCTTCCACTCCCGAGTGCATTCCACAGACTATTGAAACAATTTGTTAGCTGACTCTGTTCCTAGAACCGGAGGCAGAGGCAGGACCAAGCTGGCTCGTCCTTAGCAACTTGTTTTCTGCGAGTTTTGAATTTTAGAGTTTTATCTATGCTTATCTTTTCAAAAAATGTGTTTGTGTATATATGTGTATGTGTATATATGTGTATCTGTATGTATATCCGTACTTACATATGTGTATATACATATATACATACATACATATCTACAAATATATACATATATACATACATATATACACATATAGGTATGTATCTATGTATATACATATACATACATATATATATATATATATGTATATACATATATGTATGTCTATCTATATACATATATGTATGTATATATATATAGGGTTCAAAAGAAAAATTTTTAGAATGAACTAGAAGAATTAATACAAATGATACCTCTCAAAGAAAGAATTTTTTATTGAAGATTAAAATGGACATGTTTGAATAGTGATAGAAGATTTTAGAAATATTCATAGTGGCTACGATTTTTAGAGAGATTAAAGAAGAAAGTCGAACCATATTAGATTTTGATTTATCTTATAATTTTGTTATTGCTAATACTAAGAAAGGAGATGAGCATATCATTACTTATAAGAATGAATCTAATATATCAAAAATTGATTATTTTCATATGAGAAAAAAAAATCGTCGAAAATGTTAATATTGTAAGGTTATTCCAAGTGAAAATTTAAGTACTCAACATTGATTATTGATTCTGAATTTTAAGATGAAGAGTTATAAGATAAAAGAATACAATGAAATATTATCATAAAATTATATAGCCACGCCTAAAAGAAATAAAATTTTTTTTATGAGTATAACTTTAAAATTTTGAAATTTAGGATGTACATGAAGAAGCTAATTCTATGTGGGATAAAGTAACAAACACTATTAAACATTTGGAAAAAGAAGTAATTGAAGAATCAAAAGGAAAAAATTTTATTAATAAAAATAGTAGGTGAAATAATAACGTGCAAGAGATGTAATAAAAGAAATTGTGTTATAAAAAATAATTTAAATGTAAAAGCTTAAAGAACTGAGAGAAGTATAAGGTGGCCCGTGGAGAGTCTAAGAGAATAATTTGTGACGCTAAGAATTCTGCTTTTAGTGATCTTTATAACAAATTAGATACTAAAAAGAGTGAAAAATATATGTATAAACCAGCCAAATAAAGAGAAAAAAAATTAAATAGTTAATATAAGTAAAATGTATTAAATATGGAAAAAAAAAGGTTTTCTTAGAGGAAGAAATTTAACATAGATGGGTTAGCTATTTTGATAAACTTTTCAATGAAGTTTCTGAAAATACGATCGACCTTAACGACCTTAATATCATTATTAATAACAATTTTTTTTTTAATTTTTACTATCACATTAATAAAAAGGAAGTTTATGAGGCTTTAAGGAAAACAAAGGGTGAAAAATCAGTATCTCTATTGAAGTGTGAAAATATCTAGTAGATTTGAGAGTTTATTGACTTACTAAACACTAAAAAGATGCCTTGAGCAGAGGAAGAGTATTTTGGTCGCATTTTTAAGAATAGAAGGATAACGCAAGACATAGAAGGATAACACAAGACTGTGCAAATTATAGAGGAATTAAATTAATGTGTCATGCATCAAAATTATAGGAGAGGGTAATTGAACATAGGTTAAGGCTTGATACAAAGATTTCTCATAATTAGTTTGGATTAA